CAATTATTTTCCAATTTAGCATTACGGTGTCGGGGCGTTTTTCGCAAAAGTCCGCGATTATCGGTACGCGTTCTCGATAATAACTAGTGTCCAAGCGCAGTTATCGACTTCGGAATTCGGCTTTTATCATTAAAATTTACTTAACAATACTGAATCTGAAGCATTAACATATTAACAATCCTTGAGATAGACATTTCATTTGCAAAAAATTTTACTTAAAATAGGAACCCAATATTTTGAAAGTTTATATTTCATAAACATTTATTATTCTTTTAATTTATGGAGCGAACGTAGAGGAAAACGCACGGAAAGGTCGACCTTGACCTATATACCTCAACCTGTAATGAATTTAATGAATAATAATAAAGAAATAATGAATTCTTTTTTCAAAAGTAGTAAGACTTTTTAGTTTTGGTCGTGTATGAAAAGGTATATCAAGAGAACACCGAGTAAAGGCCCATGATCTCTGCCTACACCATAGAGAGATAGGCGAGTTGATAGATATGTATGTATGAAAAGGTGGTTTCGTTATATAAATCTGTAACAAATAGAAATTAAACTGTTTGTTTTTGTCAATGGCTGACAACGAAATGTTGATTTGTTACAAAAAACAAATAGCTTCAAAAAAATAGTTGCATTTCCAATGTATTGCAATCGCGAAAATCAAGCAACTCGATAAATCTGTTACAAATTATATGAACAACCATTTCTTTATGCGCTAATACGTTGAGCCGTATCTAAAGCTACACAATCAATCAAAATTTTCACTTGAAATTTATAAAAAGAAGAATTAGAAGATAGAAAGAAGACATTATAAGAAGCCGAAGAAAAAGGTTTATGAGAAGCCGAACATCGTCTACAATTTGTCCGAAATGAGCAATTCGAGTGGTCTCTAATAATAATAAATCCGTAATATGAAGCATAAATCTCTTGGCATGAAATTCAATAAAGTCATATCGGCCGGAACCACCTCGGTGAGGACTTTAATTTGCAATTAATCAGGCTTCGACCAGACCGGCCTAAATTAGGAGGCCACGATCAACGAAAATATTAATGCCCATGGCTATTTATGCTGTATTCTCACACAGCTTATGTCAGAGAATAATATTTACGTATGAAAGGTTAATTATTGCTATCAGGTATTGTGTCTTGTGTTTTATTAATACTTATTTAAAGTTTATAACTTACAAGTTTATCAATAAAAAATAAATATGAAAATATGATTATTAGAACATAGAAACTTCTTCGACCCGGTCGGACTAGAACCAACGGCTATACTTTTTTTAATTTTAAACGCTTCCATAGATTTAATATACACTCGCAAACAGGCTTTATATAGCACTATATAAAACCTTTTTGCTAGTCTCAAAGAATACGAGGAATTAATAAATGGCTAAAAAATGAAAGAGAATGTATAATAGAAAAATATTAAACAAGTTTACTTTGACAAATTTTACTTCTTATTTTTATTTAAGTGGAGTATATACTAGAATTCACTATTATATTGTCGCTCTTCTCACTAGAATTCATTTTCGAGAAGAAAATGTAAAAAATATTAAAAATAAAAATAACAAAAAAGAAATTCAAAGTACTTTCTTTTATTTTACCGCCATTTTTTAAGTATGTAAGTGCAGGTATACAAATGAATTAAATGAAATATAAGTAATACCATAGACCATATTTTTTACTCTCGCAATTACGGACTTGATGCTGAGTAGGCAGTATGACAGTTTTTCTATTGTCTGTTTACGTAGCACTTTCTTAGTAGACATGCAACTCTTTGCCGGCCCAGACCCGACGTTTCCGAGCAAATTAGAACAAAATTAGATTAATAAATATAAAATTTTGGCGTTTTTCTTTCGTTTTATGAATGGAGTGAATACAAGTAACGAACCGGAGTACAGTGAAATTTTGAATTTTCGTCTTTAGCAAAAAAGTCCTCAGCTTGACGTTTTTGCAAATGAAATCAAGTTTGTATACAGTTTGCACACACTTATGACAATTTTCAAGTGAGACTTCTTTTTTCTATTTTCTTTTTTATATTTTTGACAGTGTGTTCGTTTTACAATTTTTACGTCTAAAATTATATATTATATTATATTTAGTATTATATTAAGTATTTTTACGTTTTCGCTGTTGCTACTCATTGGAGATGAAATTATTCGTTTCGGATCTAAATTGCGTATGCTTGTAGTTTGCAAAAAGACAACTGGCTGGTGACTTTAACATCTTGGTCAGCCGTAACCATGGGACCTGTAAAGGGCCCGAAACATTGGTTCGTTTGAAAAGAAAAATATACGCGATTTAAACCCGATAAATTGTTTCATTTCTCATATACAATCGGAAAAACCTTAAAAATTACTTGCTTTAATCGAGCTCTTAGGCTTTCGCTTGCTTTTGACGAAAACTATACATATGTGGTACGAAAGATGATGCAATGATCAAGACAGAAGAGGGAATGCATCGATGGTTTGGTCGTGTGGAAAGAAAGATGTATGTATGTGCGATGTAACGAATGTGGATGGAAATCGGGGAAAGTAGAAGGTAGTGAAAAGTATCAGGCATGTATGAAGGCATGTAGCCGTTGACCAGTTATGTCTAATACTTATGCAAACCACCCTATTCTTTATAGTTACACAATCTCAGTACAGAGTACTAAAAAAAAACAGACCACAAAGTCATTCATCCCTAAGTTTGCCACCCTTAGAGATAGAATATTTTTTTCAAATTTAAATGGGACTACTACTAAGGTATCCTCTAACCAACAAAAAATTATGAAAATCGGTTCACAAATGTCGTTGACAAGTTATCGCGTAACACATATACAAAAAAAACATACAGTAGAATTTAAAACCTTGTTAATACCTAAATATAATACCTAACATTTTGATTTTTAAAATGTATTATTACTTAATAACGGAAATTACAAAATAAATTCAAATTAAAACATGTCTTGTTTGTTTTGTTAAACACGTTGGTTTGTTTCAGAAAAAATACTTATACGTAATTTAGATCCGAAAAATAGTTTCATTCGAAAAGTAAGTTAATTAGTATTGTAAGGGAAGATGTTACACAATGTAGGTCATACATAAATAATGTCATTTTAATTTCAGTAAATTATTATCGTATAATTTAAGTATAAACAAGTACACAAAATCGCATAAATAATTTTATTATACTTATGATAATGTAGAGTTCAAAAATTTAGACGAAAAACAATTTTTTTGCCCATTCATTACTGGAGACTTGTGTCTAGCAGTGAAACATGAAAAGGTTGAAAGTGCTGCAGATTTATCAGCACTAGCATTCAGCACTAACACGCATTGGTTCGTCAATAACATTAAATCAAATGCATTGTCCCACATCGGTTCTAGAAATAAAGATACACATTAGGCCGACGAAAATTGGTTATTGCTCTTCCTAGTTATAAATCTGTACTGCAGATCTGATCTGTATCTATACTTTAGCTACAATGTTGTCACAAGTCATTTCGGCGAGTTCAAAACTTAATTTATGTTATTACTAATTACCGTTATTAAGGTGAAGTGAGATCAAAAACAAACGTTTTGGTATATTTCGCCATGCAGTAACGTGAACATTACATTGAAGGGTAAGTGTGCTGGTCAAATTACAGGCACATGAGACTTTTCAACTTATGTCTAGGATGTTGGGCGCAGTGACAGTGCTCTACAGATCTTTGTGATTTAAAGCTCTGAGTGGCACTGCAACTGCTTTGGACAGGCATGTCGCATACCACCAGGCGCACGACTTGTTTGTCCCGTCACTTTGTATCATAAAAAACACAGAAATCCGGTTTTTCGACATTAAAAACACGGCTTCAACTTGTTTTCTTTTTAAATAATAATGAAAACAGAAGTAGTAAACTATTCCAATCCGCGAAATTTTCATTATTTACTACGTTCGTCTACGGAAAAATCAATTTCAGTCCATTGTTGTCGGGATATTCAATTAAATTTGCTCTCCCATGTTCCGTAATGGACTATAAACTTATTTTACAGTGTCAGAGTATATTTTATTTCTAAAAGGCAAATGTTCAAATATCGTGCACTGACATTCTCTGCATCTACCTCACACACTACAAAGCCTACGCAACCGTTCCTACATTGTGACTGTTACGTATATGAAAAACTGTTGCCTGGGAGAGTTTGGCATTTAGCAGCAAAGCTGTCTGTTGTACTTTTTGTCTTAGCAAAATGTGTTACGAGTATAATGCTAAAGCGAATCACGCTGTAAGGATGGCAAATCATTTATTTGCGCCAACTAAACAATCCAGAACATCAATTTATAACCTCTATTATGCCACACTAGAAAATATTTAGTCAAGTAAAAAATAAAGCGAGTATATAATACAATATCAAGTCATATTTTAAAAGTTAAAGTTTCCTAATATAAAGGCTGATCACGTATTTAAGGCTTTGTTTATGCGATTCAAATTTTCCGCCATTGAAGAAACACTGATATTGTTACTCACATAAAAGTGTTGCATCATAAGTGGTTGTTTATTGACGACATGCTTCATTCCTCAATGTAAACAATAGTTATTTTTGCACAAAATTTCATTAATAGGAACAAAAATAACATTTTTTCAGTGAAATATAAATTTATATGAGCTCGAAGCGTGGTAGATATAGATATTTTATTCAAGTTCTTTGCAGCATAGAGGAGAACCTTTGCCAAGTACATAAAAAGAAGATTTATGTTATTAACCGTGATTAAACTAGTTCTTTCAGTCTTTTTAAGCAAATATGTATATATAATTTTTATATTCATTAAAATTATTTTACACTAAAATGTGTAAAAGAATTTTAATGATGCTTTAGATTATGTAGAGTCCACTTAAGTGATTTTTATATGTTAATAACATATACATACATAAGAACAAATACATTTTATATAATTACTTACGTACACTTAGCACATACGTATAAGGTAGACGTTAAGGAAAGTGAAAGCGTGATCTGTGACGTCATAACACTCACCACCAAGAGTCAGTGATGGGCGCGAGGAGCAGCAGGCAAGAGGCGATGACCACCGGCCGCATATCGTGACGGACATCACTGCCCCCACACCCGGTACCTAACCATCCCTTGCGACTAACTAACAAAAATGCCCCAACTCTCCACCTACGCCTGCATGCCTTTAAAATTTTCGATTACCACATACGATGTTCAAAATTCGAAAGTTCGTATTCAGAAATTGTTCTTCGACTGTTTTTCGAAAAATGCTATATTTTCAAAATCAGTTCGGAATTTCCGGCGCGTGTCGCGTGCGTGGATCCCTGTCGGCGGGAGATCGCGGCGCGACTGACGCTCACCTGTGCGCTCACCCAGCCGCACGCGCACCGCAAAACGATTTTCGCGCTATTTTGGCTAATATTTAGCGGATTAGGCTTCGCGTGATTAGAAATTTGAAGGAGGGGATACGAATTGTGAGACGATGCGTGTGGGCGATTTGATATATTATAGCTTTCGTTCGATTAATGAATCGATAATCCAGTTTTTCGATTAAATGCATGTCAATAGTCTTTTAATAGGTCTGGTGTTTAGAATCGGTATTTATATGTTTGTTGTGAACAAATGCATGTAATTTTCGGGTTGCGCACCATTCAGCTGTTGGTAGGGCTAGGTTAATACGAGCAGACGTGGTCTGGTGGAATGATGGACAGGAGAAGCGTTAGTACACTTCTATTATTAGAGTACACGTGCGAAACGCTAATTGTGTTAAACAAACAATCGCGTCTTCCCACCGACTGGCGTTTTAGCGCATCTGAACAGGACAACTTAAAATTTTCGTAGTTATACCTTTTCTTCTTATTATTAAACAGTTAAACTTTTGTCGGCAGAGTAATCGCCAACCATCTTTGTTCTGCGTCCTACCTTTGATTTCCTGATACGAGACGACAGTAACTTTTTCCCTTATGCTGTACCATAAAATTAAAGTAACATTTATCGATAGCGACCGCGTAAAATGTTTGTACACAAAATGTTCCTTTTTCTTATGACTGTTAGAGGCGCTGTAAAACTTGCCATACAAAATTGTGAAGTAACCTACGCGGTCGCTAGCGACAACTGCCACAGTAAACTCGTGATAGAGGCACATCTAAACAATTTCGTCGCGGTCGTCCTTTGCCTCTTTTCTCTTCTATGATGTTTGCAAAACAACTGTTGTGACGTATCAGATGTCCAAACATCTTTCCCCTTCGATTCTCTATTGTTTTTAATAACAGCTTACATAGCAGCAGACCGCTTTCTGAAAGATTTCGTCCAGGAAAGTACTGTCATCTTATCTATTTCTATCGCAAACTTGTAGTGTAAGCACTACTGTGTTTCGATTTTGAACGGTGAGGGTGCTGGTGAAATTACTGGCACATGGGATTAACGTAATATGTCTCAACCAACGCACTGGCGGCGGCTCTAAAATCTTTGCGATTTAAAACTCTGAGTGGCACTGCGAAAGACGTATTCCTTCAGGGAAATACTGTCACTTTACCTGTTTTTTCCGCCGTGCAGTAATTTGAGCATTACTGTGTTTTGATTTTGAAGGATAAGGGTGCTGGTGAAATTACAGGCACATTGGACTTTTCAACTTATGTCTAGGATGTTCGGCGCAGTAACAATGTCCCACAGATCTTTGTGATTTAAAGTTCTGAGTGGCAACTGTTATGGACAGGCGTGTCGCTTACCATCAGTCGCACGACTAATTCGTCCCGTCCCTTGGTGTCATAAAAAAAATTATCTAGCTAAACCTATTTCAACCAATTTCCAGCATTGGTTAAAATAGTCAAAGGAGATTTATATGCCAATGGTTATGCCATTGGAACTTATGTTAATTATATCTACTGTTGGTTTATTTTCACCTCAATTATGGTTAACTACGAAAAGGCACGTTGCTTAAAATTCGGTGAGATTTGGTATATTTATTTTATATTAAAAAATACATCAGACTATCTTATGAATCTAAATAAATAAGACCAAAAATCTCTTAATTACAAACTATAACTAATTTATACCACGAGATGTTGTAAAACAACTCAATTTTATGTATACTTTTCCATCTGTTCCATAGTGTAATCATTCAAGTTTGGAGTGTAGTTAATAGAATTCGTAGCAAAACACTCTTAGGGTAATTGGCACCTTTTATTACGCTATTAAAGTCAAAAACGTTTCTAATTATAAACAAATCCAGATTTATGAGCTTGAAACGAGTTACGCGCTTGCGCCGTTATTTAAAACTTTTTTGAACTTGATTTCTTATAAAAGAAACATTTATTTAATATTTTGGATAATGAAATTAGTGCGCTAGTTCGAAAATAGGCAACAACTTTTACAAAATTAAATGTTTACACTTTAAATGTTGCTCAAACTCTAAGAAGAATACAAAGTGAAACATCAAAGAGGTGATTATGAAATGCCCGTCTTGTTTGACATGTATTCGGCAAAGGGTATTTTTGCCATGTGCAAAATATAATATATTTTTACTACTCTGGGTACTAGGGAATTGGCTTTGATTTTCATTTGTTTAATTTTCTTGGCTGAAGTTGCACAGCTGTTTTCCAGCCTAGTTTCGTGAAACCTAAGGCTGAATTGTCGAATGCTAATTTCTATTACTAGAGAACAGATATCGCTTCGAGGAATCTTGAGCCAGAGCAAATTTCTTGATAAACAAATAACAATGTAGAATAAATAACCCCGTTTAAACTATAACTTTAAATTAGTTATATCGTTTATCACGACAAATTAATAGGATGTGTCTTGTTAAGAGTTTGAAGTAGATAAATCTATAATATATATGAATTGTGAACACAAACTTGCAATTAGTAACACAAAATTCGTCACGAATTACATATACGACACGACTTCGCCACTGACAAGGAAAATGCAAACAAAACACGGATTCGCTCTGAACCTTTTGGAGGGAAAAGTGTCGTTTTTATTTTGACTTTCAATTATTTTGTGATATCTAGTTTAAAGTGGAATAGGATAGTGCTATTGTGCCTTAATCGAAGATTAAAACGCGAAATTATACGAATCTCGAACTAAAATACCCGTATCGCCCCGTTCTAAGGAATCCCGAGTCAATCCAAGCACGCTGCCTCAAATTGCCTATCCTCTTTGTGGCGGCCATATTTACAGAAACATAATTCAACTTCATGTACCAAAAAAGAATAATGTACAAGACTTGGCTGTATGGTGTAAAACCTTTGCCTTTTCCTTTATGGAAAGAAGCTGTGAAAGAAAGCAAACAAAACACATAAACACAACAAGGAGTTGGCGGTAGAATGAAAATGTTCCATATTTAATAGCAGTAGAGCTCTTTGTGAACGATATCCTCCAGAGAAACACTGCCAACCTTACCTATTTCTGCCGCCAAACAGTAATTCGAACATTACTGCTTTCCAGTTTTGCGGGGTAAGGAAACTGGTAAAATTACAGGCACATGAGACTTGTCAACTTATATCTCAGGGTAGCCAGCCCAGTGACAGTTGACTGGCACTACGACTGCTATTGACAGACAGTCACTAAACACCAGGCGGACGATTTGTTCGTCACGTCACTTGTTATCATAAAAAGTATCATGGGAAGAACGAGTTTTCCCTGTAGAACCGAGACGGTTAATACTATGGACGCTTGATGAGGAGGTTTCGATTCCACGTAGGACCATTTAAGGAAACGAATTTTGTAAAGTGATTCTGGTCTGAATATATTGAGTGCAGAATAATAAATGAGTTCAAAAGAATACATAACTAATACAAAGAATTCCCTAGTTAGAAACCTGGTCATAGGTGTGATTATCAGGCACATTTTTTTACAAAATCTGACGCATTTTGCTTATACAGCTATCTATATCTATATTAAATTATTTATCTACAAATATAAATTATTTATACGCATCGTGCAACTACCTTCATCGGAACTAATTGCAGATAAATTCAACTCAAAACGTATGATTTTAATTTTTGTCTACCTACATTATTTTTCTTAATACGCAGTGAATGGTGATGGTTGTATAGATTATAGTGCGCTTTACTATTAAGTTTTGAAGTAAGATCTTAAATTTTCTCTGTAAGTGAATTTATATTCTTAAGAGAAATAAATATTCTTTAACCATATGTATATTAAAATTTTAATTTTAATAGGATTCTTCAGGATTGAATGTCAAAATGCTTCACCACTATGATATTCAATTACTTTTTGTGAAATTACTCCACTAGTTTGTTACAATTATTAATACAAAGATTACTTACAAAAAATTCCTTCGATCTCCAAGCAAACCATGTCAGACGCTGTGCCATCTAAGCCACGGAACGAACCAGCGGATCTCACGAATTTTTCTGATGTGTTTGTTTTCGGATCTTTGTATTTTGTTTTCAACGACGTTTTAGCCGTAGGATTTTAGAATTATTCTACTTTTTATTTCTTTGCGATAGCGATCACACATTTTTTTTTCTTTTTTTCTTTCGATTCGTTCGTAATCCGAACACACAAATCTAGAGTACTAAAGACCCGATCTCGAAAGTTCGTAAAATTACATCTATTTGCCAAGTTTTATTGAAATCGGTTACCGGAAAGTGCGGGAAACCGGATTTGTCCCTTAGTTTGCCACCCTTACAGGTGGAACATTTTCTACAAATTTAAATGGAACCAATACCGAGGTACCCTCTTTCTAACAAAAAAGAATCATCAAAATGGGTCCACAAATTCGCGTAATATACATACAAAAAGAACTGTCGAATTGAGAACCTTCTCCTATTTTTGAAGTCGGTTAAAAATACAAATATCGCTTGTTACACCTAAAGATAAAGTCATCCCTGTGACATTTCGGACGCTCATTTCTCGTGTTCGGAACTGACATGAATGGGCCGTAGTAAAAAACGCAAACGCTCTTAGGGAAAAATGTATAATAAAAAATGGTAACGTGGTCCAATGAGGGCTAACACTCTTTGTACATAACTGCCAGATTGAATTCGGATTGTGTTTCGTGTACATTACGTATTTATTTACGTTTACTAAAGGATAAATTATCTCAATTTATTTTTGAAGGCAATGTATTCACATTATATATTATGTTATATATTATGTGTTCCCATAGTCTACTGAATTATGATATCAACAAAGAAAACTGCTTAAATTCGAGAACACTACTGCCTAATATACTTAAAGCTTCATGATGATATACCACGGTGACGACGTTACAAACCGAGACGATGGCTACACAAAAACAATGTATTACTTCTGTTCACGAGTTCACTACATCAAACAAACACAAAGTTCACGTGGTTGATGTGGAATTCAGTGTT